CTGTCATGTGCTTAACATAATTAAGATCACTAGTATTAGTAAACATTTGTATTTCATTAAAATGTTTTTTTAATGCTGCAAACACGATATAATGCTAAGCACGTTAAGAAAACAGAGGCCTTTTGTCTGAAAATATCCAGACTGAAATATCATTGCAATAATGCCTGTCCTTTAAATAGATGAGATTAAAATGTTGGCTTGTATCAACAGTCAGGAAGCTGGATACTTTTTTTTTCCAAAGGAAAAAGGCTGCACTGTTTTCCTGTTAGACAAAAGTAAAACACACAACACATTAGGGCTGCACGATTTTGCATAAAATGAGAATCACGATTTTTTTGGCTTAGAATTGAGATCACGATTCTCATTTCCAGTATAAATATTTATTGCACTTATTAACTGCACATCATCTTCGTAACAGTTGAAACTGAACATAAAAACAATAAATAAACATAAAAACAACAAATGTCTCACGTTTTGTTGTTGCCGCAAAATGTTGTACTGCTTGAAATTCCGTCTCCACCGTTGCTCGACACTGCGTGTATAGAGCAGGTAGTGCAACAATAGAAAAATAGTTGCGGGACGGCACTGTGTAGCGTTTGTCTAGGGTGTTGATCATTTTCCTAAATCCCTCGTTTTGCACAGTGTTGATGGAGCCATATCTTTGGTCAGGTGATAAGTAATAGCCTCCATAATGTCTTTGTGCCTGCGGGAGTTCGACGTGTATGGGGAAGCGCTGTATAAGGTTCCCGTTATTGATGTTTGGGTGGTTGACCGGGACGGATTTTCTCCTGTCACTTTCTCGTCATCCCTGACGTGCTCTCCGTTGTTTTTTCCCTGCTAATTTTAGCATCACACGGCACAGCTTCTGTATCACGTGGTATAAGGCTCCGCCCTTGTCATTTGTTGAGCAGGAAGAGTGAGCGCTTGTTTTCATGCAGATTACGTCCCGCATCAAAATGCGGTACAATCGTGGTCGTCGTCAGATCGCACATAAGTATGAATCGAGATCGCGATTTTCTAACGATTAATCGTGCAGCCCTATAACACATTAATAATCAAATGTTCATGCATGTGCTGTTTTCTTAAGGGCAGGGATAGCTCAGTAGGTAGAGTGGTGGCCCCATGATCGGAAGGTCGGGGGTTCAACTCCACTGAATGGCTACTCTGAGGTACCCCTGAGCAAGGTACCGTCCCTACACACTGCTCCCCGGGCGCTGCATTGGTGGCTGCCCACTGCTTCACTGGGTGAATGGGTTAAATGCAGAAGAACTATTTCCATATGGGGACTAACACATACACATTATTATTATTATTATTATTATTATAAGTGGTGAATGTGTGTCTGAATTCAGACTGTAGTACTGGTTCATGTGGCTAACCTCTGTACGTGCCTATTTGAAGTAGCTGAGTTGTTGTCCCTGAGAAACTTCACTTTAATTTGGTTAGATTGAATTTCCCACCTAGCCTATAGACAGTTGGCTAATGACCACCCTAGAGAGATACCACAGTAGCTTGCAGTGATGTTATCCCCATTACTGTTCATCAAATTACACTGCTTCCAGTGTTTGGCTCATTTGTGAGCTCAGTCCACTGTTGCTGCTTCGACCCTCTGTTGTCAGACTGTTTGGGTTTAATACACTGACTGGTATTAAAAGCGATTTTGAATTGTTTGGGTATTCATTTTGATGCTGCATTAAACCACAAAGCTTTTTGCCTAGTTTTAATTGCCTCAAACTGAATGATTATCTGTCGTAACCGTACACCAGACTGTTCCAAACCAGTCTAAGTATTTAAGACTGATCCAGATGTGGAAAAGTGGTCTGGATGTATTTTATATTTAAGATGAAGGATATAGGTAGCAGGACAGAATGTGGATGTGCTAATTAAGTTTCATTCTGTCTCAAGTTGAATCTCTCCGCTCACATTAACGGCTCTGCAGTATTCAGCCAGCCATCCCATATTACTGCACTAATGAGATAGCTATTTAGAATTCTCTTTGCAGGGTATTTGTATAAAGCATTGTTCCACAGCAAGGTTTTGCAAACCCATTCAACCAAGTAGCTGTACATGTGTTGGAGTGCACTGCTGATAACTGTGTCTACTTCTCCTTTGTTTTCTCATTTGGTTGCATTAAGTCAAGAACAGAAGACTTATTTCTTAACCTCTCATGTGCACTTTGTTGAGATGGCCTCTTTGAGACTTTGCAGGCTAGTGTGACATTTCCCATAACTGCCTTAGTAAACAATAGGCTTGAGTCAGGCTAAAATCTATTGTATGGAGGCTCAACACTGGACATCAGTACACAGAAGTGTAGGTATACTTTCTAGAAGCATATAAATGAAGGCTATTGGTGTGGTCTGAGGCTTTGTGAGCATAATAACAATAGTGGGGGACTGAGGGGTCCAAACCCCAGTTCCTGGGGTTGTCAAAACAGAGCAGAGGTTTCTGACAAAAATTCCCCCCATTCCAGGGTGCATAGCGAAGAATATTAGGTCAAGCAGTGTTTCTGGAGCTTGACCCTTTTTAAAAACAGTTGTCCCTAGAGTTGTTAACTAAACAAATATGTTTGTGTTTGTAATTATTATAAAAATGTGCCTTGAAAGCACTCACACAAATTATAGAATTACAATTACACCAAAGGATATACTACACAGCTCTTACTTGCCTTCTTAATTGTACCAATCAAAATTCTGCCCATAATGGAACATAACAGCTATGTCTCCTAATGCTTATATGTTGGGAAGTCTATTTATAAAATTATCACAACTTAAAAAATTCTTGACAAAGTTTCAAGCAGTTTGGTTTGTTAAAAGTCACAATGACATCTGTCATTGTGTATATTAAGATAAAGTTAAATAAAAAACACCAGATTTCATAAAACGGTAACATGCTCTATAAAATATAGTTAAGATGCCTATGCATGTGTTTATTTGGCAGACGGGCAAGACACACAAAAGAGAGATCTGATCATTTTTTTAAAGCACAAAAAGGCCAAGAATGTAGAAAGACCCTCAGAAATATCAAATCAAGTCTTAATTAGAAAGGAATGAAGTGCTTATAGAAATGTTTCATAATAGTGTCATCAGTCAGAGGCAACAGAGAGGGTAGAGCTGGACAGAGAGTTGAGGACAGTCAGAAAGAGGAGTAGAGTCTGGTAAGTTTGCTGAGCATTTATTTCTTTTCTTAAATAAAGGGTACACTCTTATTTAGATAATCTATTTGCTACCAACTACAAGATGGCACAAGCAGGTTAGCAGCAGTAAGCGGTGTTCTCTGAATTTCTTTAAAAGTCCTGAGATGCACAAAAAGAGAGCTGGGTTATCTCATTTAGTGTTCGGGTTGTCCGTGTGGTTTAGGCAAGGCGCAGTAGACTCAGTATGACTGCTCACAAGCTGTGACTGTTACCTGGACTTTTCTCACCTCGATGTCTAATCCGTGTCTGGCATTTGCAAACTAACATCTAGAAGAGTTCAGGGCTCCAGTGCGTGTGTGTGAAAGTATATAAAATGGTAACATTTTTGGTTGTGGTGGGAATTTGTAACAAAAGCTGCTGAATATTCATCGGTTGAAGATTCTCATTTGTTTGGATTTCAGTTACAGTAAACCTCTTACTTTTGGGTGTTCAATCATTGGTCAAAATCAGATGTTTTGAAGATATCATCTTGAGCTTTGGGAATAAAAATAATTGGCAGATTAAATGATAATGAAACTAAATCTTAGTGGTGACTCTAATGAACAACATCCATTTGCCACTCAGTTAAAATATACATCATACTTCGCAATGGTTGTGTTTGCAGCTATTTGGGGTATGTCAGACAAAAAAAATCTCAAGTGTCTCTGGCTATCTGCAGTTTAGAGATGGCTGCCATTATACCTTGGTGAGTGAAGGCTTGCTTGTGCTGACAAAGGTGTGTTTGTTTTCCAGTATGTACTTTGTTAAAGCCACTGGGGCCTTCTTGGCATTGTTTCCCTTGGTCAGCTAGTATGTAAATGCCTTTCGTCAGGCAGGAGGATAAGTGAAGAAGTTGATTAGAGCTTTAGCCAGGAGCAGTTGTTGTAGATTTAGTTGGTAAGCCCCTTCCCTTCTAGACCACAATACAACCATGCATTCCAGTCCAGTCGCTATGACTCACTGGACACCAGTGCAGCACCGTAACCGAGCCGCTTCCCTGCTGTATTAGCACTCGGCGCTTGTTGGAAATGAATTTAAAAGGGCTTCAAAGGAAATACTATTGGAATGTAAAGCTAATTTAAATATGCTAATCCCCAAGCACAACATAAACGTACACAGCAACAGCCCGCCACCCACTTTCTGTAGCCGCTCGCTGTGGAATGCCTTAGCCACAGGGGGTCTAGCAGTAATGACAGGCTTGTGGTGGATTAATGTGAAGTTATTTATTTCCGATTGAGCAAGCTCCCCCCTCTTGCG